GTGCTCCTATCAAATCCTCTTCTTTTCCATGCCTCATTATTTTTCTTCATCAATAGTCTTCAAAACAATTCTCAATTACTGCTCTGAACCCCTCAAATTACCCTTCATTTACACTCTCGGCCCGAGGACAACTCTAAGGGGTCCCCTCTCATATCCTATTCCGTCTTAGTTCTACCTGCTTCTGCGATACTTCACTCACCTTAATCGGAAATAAGGCGAAAACGGCAATAACGCCATTATTTCCGATTACCCTTTTTTTTTTTAATAAGATTTAAGGATGCATTTCCGCCAGGGTTTTGCTAGACAATCTTTGTAATCGCTTAGTGGACAGGGGGAATCTTGAGTTAGAGTCGCAATATTAATTGCTTCTGGCATCAATTTGCAATTTTGATGATACGTACAAACACCTACCACGTGAGTGCCATTTGCGCCCGCCACTACACATTGTTTAGGTCTCAGCTCGGCAAACTTACTGAAACCGACCTTGGCATCTTCATTCGGATGTTTGTACTTCCGATGAAGGATTTTTAGATTTTCGAGTATCATTCGCTTTTGCTCTACGTTCTTCTCTCCATTGATCTTGATGGATATTTTATCTTTCATTCCTGGCATGACGCGACTGTGCTCTAGGTAAAAATTGTGTACCTTCTCGACGGTTGTGCTGGGTAGTGAATGACCTGCTTTCGCAATTGGTGGAGCAAACACTCCTTCAATTTTTCTCAATCTTTTCGCTCTTGACACCATGTATGAACCGTAAAGATTTGCAGGCGCTCACGGTAGTTTTTCAGATCTTTGAATTTCTGCTTCAAACCATCCAATATTTCTTCTAATTCTATTTCTCTCGCAGATCGTTACTGCTTAGATGAAGATGGATCAATGTCACTTTGGTCATCTTCCGAATCATAATCCATGGAAGAACTGTCGAATTCAGCTTCATCGTCTGGTTCGTCGTCAATTGATATGGTGGAATCATCAAGATGGAAAGATCGACATGATCTCAGAGAACTGTTCATCACATCCAGACTTGGGTCACATGTTGCGGCTTGGAGGATTGATATATCGGGTGGAGTTTCCGAACGCTGAAGATGTGTAGCATTAAGTTTAACCGTGGGGACAGATGGAGGAATGACATAAGTTGGAGCTCTCCTTCGGCATTGACCACAGATTTTCGCAGACAATGGTAAAAAAGGAAATTTCTCGTGTAGTGTCAAGGAAATCGGACGTAAATTATAACCGAGGTGTCCCTTCTCAACAGGAGCCCGCATTGGATCCGCACATCTATCACTCCGCGGCATTCTATGAAATCCGAAGATATCAATTCCGAGAATAAAGATCATTGCTATATAATCAACGTGAAAATTCCTTACCTCGTTGCAAGAATACAATAAGATAGGAGCTCGGTAATCCATCCACACAGAATCGTATGGTGATGAAAAATCAAGCAAGAAATTGAGATTTTTTTCTAGAATTAAAGCCTTGGAACCGACTCATGATGATAAATCAATTAATTGATTCCGTTCATTTCTTCTTCTTATTTGTTTGATCATAATTCAGCAAACTTCCGATGATGATAATGTTCAATTCAACTATCTACCCTTCCAGTAAAAATTTCGACGAAAATTTTTTTTTTCGGCGCACTCTTTCTCCGTTACATGATGGTGTAGTCTTATGTCATCATATATGAACAAAGAATAATGGTTGACAGACTCATTTCTGTAAAAAAAAACCGATGGATCTCCCCTAAAAACTGAAAAACCCAAAAATTTTGAAAAAAAAAAAAAATTTTCCGGTGCATTGCTTTGCTCTTCCATTATGGCGTATTTTTTTTCATATCATATAAGGACATCCTCTATCATAAAAAAGATATTTCGATCGAATATCGAGCGGCCTTAGAGTGAAAAAAACTGAAAACGCGAAAAATTCTCGAAAAACCGATCTAGGAGCTGCTTGACGATTCTGAAGTATTTTTTATCTTGAAGTACGAGAAAAAACGAAAGAAAATTTTTTTTATTCATCAAAATCGGATGCTTTATTCAGAAGTGATGATTTTTTGAAAATTTCAAGTTTCATAATGATTATCTCAGAAACAAAAAGTGGCAGGGCAATGAAATTTTGCATGATCACTGTCTATATGTAGTAGTTCAAAATGCACCTACTCCATGATTTTTCCCAGACAAAAAAAAATCCGTTTCGGCTGAGTTGACATGGAATGTCCCATATATAGACAGTATTGTTGCTAAATTTCATCGCTTTATCATTCGTTGTTTCTGAGATAATGGTTACAAAACTTGAAATTTTCAAAAATCCATAACTTTTGAACGGCCCGTCCGATTTGAATGAATAAAAGAAGAAATTTTTTTTGTTTGTCCTTTAAGGAAAAAATATTCACGATCCATGAATGAGTTTCTACATTGATTTTTCAAGAGATTTTTAGGTTTTTTTTTTGCTAGGGCGGTCCGATATTTGATCGAAATAATTTTTTTCTGATAGAGGACATTCACATGTGATACAAAAAAATACGCCATCATGGAAGAGATAACAAGTGCGCTGGAAAAAAATATTTTTTCTGAAATTTTTGTGTTTTTTCGCCTTCTAGGGAAGCTCCCTTGTTTTTACCAAGAAATTAGTGTACCAATCAATACTTTTGGTCAATATATGATAGGGAAAAAATACACCATCACAGAAGAAAGCAACTGTGTGACGCAAATTTTTTTTTCCGGAAATTTTTCCGTTTTCTCGCTTTTTAGGCGAGCTGTACTGTTTCTACGAGCAGAGACAAGCAGTGCACCGGAAAAATTTGATTTCTGCGCAATTTTCTTGTCTTTCCATCGTTCAGGATAGCTGCATTGTCTTTATCAAGAAGTATTCCGTCAATTGTTTTTTATCATTCTCTCAGAGAGAACAGAATGTTGGAAGTACTATAGATGTTCTGCCAAAAACGCAAAGCTTAGATAGTTGAGTTGAACATCATCATGATCGGAAGTTTGCCATATCATGACCAAATAAATGAGAATAGAAAACGAAGAGGATCGATTCATTGATTTAACATCATCCGTTGATTCTAAGGCTCTAGTTTTAGCCAAACCTTTAACTGCTCCATTGGGTTTTTATGATCATACGATTCCCTGCGAATTGATTAGCATTTCTCCATCTTATCCTTCTATCGAGATGATTAGTTTTCACGTTACTGATTGGAATAATCCTCATTTTTCGGATTGATATTCTTGGATTTCATAGCATGCCGCGGAGTAATAGGTGTGCGAATCCATTGCGGGCTCCTGGTGAGAAGGGACACATGGGTCTTCTTACCATACATGGATCTTCACGTCTGATTTCTTCGGCAATACGCGAGAAGATTTCCTTTCTACCATTGTCTGCGAAAATCTGTGGTCTCTATTAAATGAAAGCTTCAACTTATGCCATCTCATCATCCATCCCAATGGTGAATCTCGATGATGGACATCGTCGGTGTTCGGACGCCTCACCCGAGATATCAATGCCCCAAGCCAAAACACGTGATCCAAGTCCGGATGTGATGAACAGTGCTCTGAGGTCAGGTCGGTCTTTCCATCTCGATGATTGCGCCATTTCCCTCGATGACGAAAAGGACAATGTATCTGAATTCTCCAGGGCTCCTATGCATTATGATATGGAAGATGATCAAAGTGACGTTGATCCATCTGTATCGAAACGGTATCGATCTTCGAGAGAAATAGAATTAGAAGAAATGTTGGAAGGTTTGAAGAGGAAATTCAATGATCTGAAGAAGTAGTCTGAGCGCCTGTAAATCCTGACGGTTCTTCCAAACTCGTGGAGCGTGCGGAAAATCGCTCCAGAATTTAGCGTTACGAGATACATGGCGGCAATAGTGAAAAAATTGAGAGAAACTAAAGGAGTATTTGCTTCACCATTTGCGAAAGCAGGCCACTTCCAAGCCAAACGGTCGAGAATGTACACAATTTTCATCTAAAGAATAGTCGCGTCATGCCAGGGATGAAAGATAAAGTATCTATCAAGATCAATGGAGAGACGAAAATAGAACAGAAGCAAATGATACTGGAAAATCTGAAAGACCTTCATCGGAAGTACAAAAATGAAAATCCAGAGGTTGTGGTTGGTTTCAGTAAGTTTGCTGAGCTGAGACTTAAATAATGCATTTTGGCGTGAGCGAACGGCACTCACGTGGTATGTACTTGCACGTATCATCAGAATTGCCAATTAATGCCAGAGACCATTAAAATTGTGACTCTCACTAAAGATTCCCCCTGCCCCTCCACGATTATAAAGATTGTTCAGCAGAACTGATGTGTACGAATCCAACCCCGGACTGTCATTTGGATGAATGTGACGACTGCCCTGGAGTGAAACCCTTATCACGTGAACTGAAAAGGCTCATTTCGGATTCGGTTGTCGAAACTGTCAAATTTCATGTGTGGCGAAGTATTGACAGGTGTATTTTGCAGACACAAAAACTTCCGATGGATGACTTCGTCGATCTTCTTGTTAAACGATTAAAAGCATTAAAGCTCCATCACTTCATTGCTAAAGAGCAATCAGCTTTTGTTAACGATTGAAAAGAGAATTTGGATGATGGCGAAGTACTAGTGCACTTTGATTTTTCAGAGAATTACGCTTTTGTGGCTCAACATGCTACTCAATCCTTCCACTACAATAATGACCAGTGTACAGTCCATCTCGTTGTGTACTACCATCGCGAAGGAAACGAGATCCAACATCGAAGTTTAGTTGTTTTGTCAGATAGTACCATTCACGTTACCACCGCTGTTTACTTAGTACAGAAAATTCTGATACAACATGTGAAAGATAACTATGAAGGTGTAAGAAATAGTACATTCCATGCCCGAGCCTTGGAAAACAGATCACCGTCCTCCACGTGCAAGATTGCCTTCCGAGCCGAAGGCGAGGATTAATTTTCATGTCCCGTGGCACGAAAAATTATTTATGTCACCGATGGAGCTTCACAGCATTGCAAGAACCGTTACCGAATGGCTAATCTTCTGCATCACAAAACTGATTTTGGGATAGACGCAGAGGCCCATTTTCATGCAACCGCACACGGTAAAGGAACTTGTGACGAAGTGGGTGCGGTGTTCAAAAGAGAAGCGAGACGGAAAAGCTTGCAAATCGTTCATAGTGAACCTATCCTGACGCCAGATATTTTGTTTCGATGGTCAAAAGATAATTTTGAAGGAATTAAAGTATTTTTTTTATACCAAGGAAGAACATGATAATATCAAAATTGAACTGCGGGGAAGATTTGACAGTGGTAAAGCCACTCCAGCCATTCAAAAACAGCATTGTTTCATTCCAATAACAGAAGAATAATTGTTAATGAAACGATATTCGGTTTCGGGAAACGAAGAAGTTTTCCCGAAACGAAAACAAACGACAACGAAATGGAAAGCACGTATGAAACAGTAATCTTGATGTATTAATATGTACCAGATCGGTGTAAACGAACAAGTTGTAATCGGAGACAGTAGATAATGGCTTCCCAGTGTATAAATATAAAAATGTGTAAATATTGTAAAAATGTAAAATTTTGTTACCATAAAATAAAAGTTGTTTTTTAAAATATTTTGTTGTTGGTTGGATGAGTACTGTGTTTCTTGAAGAAGATTTATAGTGTTGCCAATAGTCTGTCTTATCTGACAGAATAAAAAGTTTTGATTGGAAGACGAAGAGTAGAAATAGCGAGAAAAAATGGGAAAATGACAAAAAAATCAAATTTTTACGGTCCACTGTTCTCTCTTCCATGATGGCTTATTTTTTTGATCATATAGGAACAGATTGACACATTCATTTTCTGGTAAAAACAGTACAATTCGCCTAGAAAGGGAAAAAACGTAAAAATTTCAGGAAAAATAAATTTGCGGCGCACCGTTTTTTCTTCTGCGATGGCGTATTTTTTCCATCATATACCGTGAGGGCGTCACTTCTCGGACGGTTAAAGGTAACTCGACCATCAATAACCGATTCTTTGTTTTTTTTTCGTCAAATATGAAGTTTGCTGTTTCCATAGTCATTTTTGATGTTTTTGGGACAAGAACACGTTGCATTTTTATTAAAAAAATTCGGAGTTCGATAAATATTTGTTAAAACAAAATACAGCTCCCCGGATTCAGTTCTCGGATGCCAAAAATTGACCCACTTCAGTTCTCGGACGACATGAATTCAGTTCTCAGACGAAGTGAATGAGATGGGTTTGGGAGAAGGAAAAATATAGGAAATCAATTGTAAAAAATATTTTTGACAGATCTATTCTCATTCCAATAGCCATAAACTTATTACACACTAAATGATAACCATGAATAACCATTATTATTATGAATTAAGTGTAATTGAGCCAAGAGATTTCATCAGTTTGTGAACGGAATTCTGCAATTGATCCTTAGTGACGGCAAACCCCCTATCAGCCATATAACAAATCCATTCTACCAGTTTCTTCTCATAAAATTCTCCTACAATACACTTAGGGCCAGGTCTGTTGATCCCAGCTTTTGTATTGCCATTTGCCTTGTCGTATAAGGTTGACTTAGGGATATTATATTCTTTGCTGACTGATCCCAAAGATCTTCCTGTTCTCATCGCCATCAGAGCACTTTCTAACTGCTCAGGAGTATACTCTGGTGCTTTTGATGTTCTAGGTTGCGAAAGCGTCGCAGGCCTGAAAGAGTTGAAGAATGGATGATTTTTTTGTGTTATTATTCTTGGGAATCATTATTTTTTTTCAAAAACGTGAGAAGAATGTCTCCATGAGAATAAGAGCACTGACAGGGATGAACGCCTGTATGAATAAATTTAATGAAAAAATTTAGCGCTTTCTCTGAGATTTTTTTTTTCACCAATTTTAGCAACAAAAACGAATAAAAATTTAGCAGAAAAAAATTCTAATATTTACACCTATGAATTTCATTGAACATCTCAAAATCTATTTACTTTTTTCAAACCGAATGTCTCTTGGACAAATGAAACGGTAAAATTAGATAAAATTCTATATAAATGGTCCAAAAAACGAATGGAATTTTTCAATAGAATTCTAATGGAACTCCAAGAGAATTCTCCTAGAATTCCACTAGAAATGCAATAGAATTTCTCAGAGAAAGTGCTAAGTTTTTCTGTCAAATTTCTTCATGCGTGCGATTGAGGTTAAGGACATGGATAAACACGTCCGAGAACTGAACCCACCTCGCCTTTGGTGGATTCAGATCTCGGACCCTCAATTTCTCCAATAATTTATTTATTTTTTTAAATTGTCTACATCTATTTTTATTCGAAAATTAACCTTCAACTCATAAAAACCGATTGTAAACAATTTTTCACTTGCATTTTGTTGTTAGATCCTTAAGAAGCACAGAGCGATTTCATCGTCCGCACACTACATAACACTCCACAGACCCCTCCCACCGTGTGAACCCTCGAATAAATTTAAGTGTAATAATTCTGTACACTTAGTGAAATATTAATAAATATTGCAATTTGGGGAGAATTTATTCTACTTTTGGAGAGAATAACAGAAAATGGCCGTCGAGCACTATGGATATGCAATTAATTTGAAATTCAATCGTAAGAGTGCTCTGCATCCGAGATCTGAATACCGTCCGAGAACTGACGTCCTCACGGTATTAACCAAAAGTATTGATTGGCATACTGATTTCTCGGCAAAAACAAGGTAGCTTCCCTAGAAGGCGAAAAAACACGAAACTTTCAGAAAAAAAATTTTTTTCCAGTGTCTTCTCTTCCACGATGACGTATTTTTTTATATCATATGCGGACGTCCTCTATCAGAAAAAATTTATTCCGATCGATTATCGGACGGCCCTAGCAAAGAAAAAAAATGAAAATGTAAATATTTCTTGAAAAAACAGTGTAGAAGATTATTCCTGTCTCGAGAGTATTTTTTTCTTTAAAGGACAAACAAAAACAAAAAAAATTTTTTTTTTAATCGTTCGAATCGCATGTACCGTTTAAAAGTTATGAATTTTTGAAAATTTCAAGTTTTGCAACCATTATCTCAGAAACAAAAAATGATGGAGCAATAAAATTTAGCAGGAGTACTATCTATATATAGTGGTTCGAAATGCAACAATCAAATGATTTTTTCCAGACAAAAAAAAATCCGGGGTGGCTGAGTTGACATGGAATGTCCCATACGCGGATGTCTTCAACCCCTCAGAAAAACCGTGTATTTTCCCCGAAATTCATTTTTCAAAAAATTATAAAAAATGAATGCATGTTTCCGGAGGGGTACATTTTATAACAATGTAGTTTCAGACCCTTCCCCCTCACCTCCCTAAATTTTCACCCCTCCGGATACATGCGACTGTCTTCAACCCCCCGGAGAAACCGTATGATCATGTATTTTCCCCGAAAATCCTTTTTTTTTTAAATTATAAAAAATCAGTGCACGTTTCCGGAGGGGTGAATTTTATAAAAATGTAATCGCAGACACCTCCCCCTTGCCACCCGAAATTGTCACCCTTCCGGATACATGCGGCTGTCTTCAACCCCCCGGAGAAATCGCATGATCATGTATTTTCCCAGAAATTTTTTTTTTAATTATAAAAAATTAGCGCACGTTTCCGGAGCGGTGAATTTTATAAAAATGTAAACTCAGACCCCTCCCCCTCACCCCCTAAATTTTCATCCCTCCCGATATATGCGGCTGTCTT